TAGTGACTTAATAACACAATAACCAGTCAATGCTTACCTGTGTGGGAGTGATGAGGAAAAAGGGGCTCTAGTTTCCTGCTAATGTTCGAAAACTTTTTTTTTTTTTTTTTGGACACACTGGTTTTTAAAATTTTTTTCTTTAAAATTTTATTTAAATTCAAGTTAGTTAATATATAGCATAGAGTGTAGTATTGGTTTCAGGAATAGAATTTAGTGATTCATCATTTACATATAACACCCAGTGCTCTTCCCAACAAGTGTCCTCCTTAATGCCCACCACTCATTTAGCACGTCCCCCACCCACCTCCCTTCCAGAAACCCTCAGTTTGTTCTCTATAGTTAAGAGTCTCTTATGGTTTGTCTCCCTCTTTGTTTTTATCTTGTTTCATTTTTATTTCCCTTCCCCTATGTTCATTTGTTTTGTTTCTTAAATTCCACATGTGCATGAAATCATATGGTATTTGTCTGTCTCTGACCGACTTATTTCACTTAGCATAATGTACTCTAGTTCCATCCACAGAAGAAGGGAAATAATATTGAACAAAAATAAATGATATAGAAACCAAAAAGATACAGATCAATGAAACTAGGAGCTGGATCTTTGAAAGAAGTAGCAAAATGGATAAACCCCTACCAGACTTACCAGAAAGAAAGGAGAAAGGACCAAGATAAATAAAATTAAGAATGAAAGAGGAGAGATCAGGGGCGCCTGAGTGGCTCAGTCAGTTAAGCATCTGACTTCAGCTCAGGTCATGATCTCACGGTTTGTGAGTTTGAGCCCCATTTCCAGCTCTGTGCTGACAGCTCAGAGCTTGGAGCCTGCTTCAGATTCTGTGTCTCCTTCTTTCCTTCTACCACTCCCCCGTTCATTTTCTCTCTCTCTCTCAAAAATAAACATTGAAAAAAAAATGTTTAAGAGAAAGGATCACAACTAACACCACAGAAATACAAAAAATTATGAGAGAATATTATGAGCAACTATATACCAACAAATTGGGCAATCTGAAAGAAATGGATAAATTCCTAGAAACATATGAACTACCAAAACTGGACCAGGAAGAAACAGAAAACTGAACAGACCCATAATCACCCAAGAAATTGAATCACTAATCCGAAATCTCCCAACAAATAATAGTGGAGGGCCAAATGGTTTCCCAGGGGGATTCTATTGAATATTTAAAGAAGAGTTAATACTTACTCTTCTGAAACAGTTCCAAAAATTGATAGGGAAGGAAAATTTCCAAACTCCTTCTATGAGGCCAGCGTTACCTCCATTCAAAAACTAGACAAAGACCCTATTGAAAAGGAGAATTACAGGGGCACCTGGGTGGCTCAGTTGGTTAAGCATGCAACTCTATTTCAGCTCATGCCATGTTCTCACGGGTTCATGAGTTTGAGCCCCACGTCAGGCTCTGTGCTGACAGCTCAGTGCCTGGAGCTTGCTCCAGATTCTGTGTGTGTGTGTGTCTCTCTCTCTGCCCCTCCCTGTTCATGCTCTCTCTGTCTCTCCCCCAAGGATAAACATTAAAAATTTTTTTTTAAAAAAAAGGAGAATTATAGACCAATATCCTTAAAGAATATGGATGCAAAAATTCTTAGCAAGATATCAGCAAATCAAATCCAACAGTACATTAAAAGAATTGCTCATATTTTTAAGGACAGGGAAGGTGGGTTGTTATTTTGTAAAAGATACGTGTATGTTTATTTATTTATTTTTTTACAAATAGTTTATTGTCAAGTTGGTTTCCATATAACACCCAGTGCTCATCCCCACAAGTGCCCCTCTCTGTGCCCATCCCCCCTCCTCCCCCCACATCCATCAGTCCTCAGTTTTTGTCAGCATTTCAAGAGTCTCTCATGGTTTGCCTCTCTCCCTTTCCCCCACCATTTCCGCCCTTCTTCTCCCCCTTGGTCCTCCGTTAAGTTCCTCCTAATCTTCCTATACGTGAGCCACATCTTCTTGAACCATTAGTCTGTTGACGGACACTTAAGCTCTTTCCATGTCTTGGCTATTGTGGAGAGTGCTGCTATGAACATTGGGGTCCATGTGCTCCTATGCATCAGCATTTCTGTATCCCTTGGGTAAATTCCTAGCAGTGCTATTGCTGGGTCCTAGGGG